GAAAATGCAAAAAATGGCAAAAATATTTATTAGAAATACATTTGTGATACGTTACAAATCTGTGCAACCTGGAAGAGAATACGTTTACCTTAAGATATAATTGAGAATGCAGGTTAGTTGTATAGAAATGTGATTAAACTGTTGTTGTACTGTCTGTGTTTCAGTTAAGTTTTCTTGGATTCAACATTAATATTTACACAAGCGCTGAATTTCCTTTGTGTCTCAGTTTGAATTGACTGCGTATGCCGCACTGCCACCTGGCACTGAAGATTGTTTAATCACAACCCAACCATATAGCCGATGATACACTGGAATTAAATCACAGTCGAGGCGCGCCGCCTGCCCGGCACGTACATATCTGGCAACTGCTGTGTTTGTTTCAGTTCCAGTTCGGCGGCAAGATTATATTTCTAACTCCACGTGTAGGTTTGCGTTTTGTACCCAACATCTGTGTTGAGCGTTTATCTGCTTCACAGGTTTTCAGAACTGTTGCGTTGCGCCTCCCCAGGTGGGTGCGGCAGGGTTTGCTGGAACACAAAGGGAGAGTCACGAAGCGAAGACGGTAGAAGGGGACATGTGGCGTTCTCAAAACAAGTTAGTCATTGTGGTTTGGCCTGCTTATCGATATCAGCAGTGGGAGCTGTGGCAGTAATGGTGACACACAGCTCATGGAGGCAATTAAGGTACTTTAAAACCCTAACCAGACAGCGCCCAACAGCTGCAATTACCATCAAAATTGCACTCTTTGTCTGAGTCATAACTTATTTAAAATCCGAACACATGGATATTGTGCACACAGTTTTAGATTCGGCGCGGCCGGCTGCCCGACAATATCCTCCAGTGATCTTTGCAAATAATTGTTCATGCATATGTCTGGAAATCGCATTTCTTGTAACTCCAGAAGTTTTTTTTTTAAGTGTCAGAGTAACACAATGACAGCGTTCCATGTGTACATTGCATTTCTAATAACCAATCCGACCTACTTTTAATGGAGCCAAATTGGCTTGAGGGTGCGATTGTCCCCGTTTTGTCATTCTGCCAGACTCTGAAAAAGGTATTCGTGTGGATTAAGAGTTTTCAAACACCTTGTTCTTCATCAGTAGAGGATTAAAAAGTTTAAAATTCTGCCCGAGATCCCAACAAATGATGAAATGTCATTTTTAAGATGATGCGCAAGACATCCAAAATGCTTCCACTTGATGGGACGTTCATAAAAAAACAAGTGTCTCTGTGTTCCTGACAGAGAACATGAGGCTCAAGTGCAAAAATATAAATCAGTTGATAAAGGACAGCAGGGTGACGCTCCACAGAAAGCTTGTGTTGTCGTAGGAATCAGCGTGTGCAGCAATTAGCCACAACATTAAGCCCATCTGCCCGGTATTACGTGGGCCCATCTAGCGCCACCAACGCTGGATCTCTAGGGGGGGGTCCTGTGGTGTCTGGTAGTGGATCCTTTGGGTTCTGTGGGTGTGTTTCAATGTTTTGGTGGTTTGTCAAAATAACGTGCCAGAATCGCAGTTGGTAGCACTGTTGCCTCGCAGCAAGAAGGTCGCCGGTTCGCGTCCCGGTGGGGGCACCGGAATCTTTCTGCGTGGAGTTTGCATGTTCTCCCCGTGCAGCGTGGGTTCTCTCCAGGTTCTCCGGCTTCCTCCCACACGGTCCCCAAACATGTTGAGGTCAATTGGTGATTGTAAATTGTCCGTAGGTGTGAATGTGAGTGTGCTTGGTTGTCTGTCTCTAAGTGTAGCCCTGTGATAGACTGGTTACCTGTCCAGGTGTCCCCTGCCTTCACCCTGAGTCAGCTGGGATAGACTCCAGCCCCCCCGCGACCCTAGTGAGGATTCAGCAGTGTATAGATAATGGATGGATGTTTTGTCCAAGTGGATGAAAGACTATCCTGTCTGCTGCACAATAATTTTAAAATTCTTTCCCCAAAAGCCCAAAGATGAGCTCCAGAAACACCTAAACACGTCTCCCTGCTCAACTTGACCAAAACTGCATTCTGCTTTTATTCTATATGTCAGTGTCTCTTCACAATATTTAGTATTTTCACATATCGGTAATGCTCTGTTATCTTGTGTTTTACAGAGAGAGACCGAGTATATGTCACGATTTGGGCCACAAAGACTTTTTTTCTTCCCGCAAATAGAATAAGTTTTTCATCCGCAGCGAGCCGGTCCTCCCTTCACACAATGCTCGGCGCTGTTCTGGGTTTTCTTCTTCAGAGAAACGGGAGCTTAGCACCGAGTCTCAGATGTAATTGTAATAAATGAGAGGTATGAACTCGGGTTATTTTAACCGCATCTAATGCGAGTTTAACTCAATGAGCCTTTTGTACTGGATCAAAAATTTCAAAAGCATGATCCTTCAACAGAGTCGCTGCTATGAATTGCGCAAAATGACTGCTTGGGACCGTCTCTGCCTGTGATTTAGTTGTAGTGAGGAAAAAAAAAGCAAGCCAACACACAGAGGACCACCTTGACTGTACCGCTCTCTCAAACGGTGGCGGTAATTAAATAAGACATAAATGAAGCCATTAAACAAACTAACACTTATCAACAGTTAAACAGCGCGCAATAAAGCTCGATTATCCCCCTTATTTTCTCCTTTTGGGCAGGAGGCCAAACAAAGCAATCGGTAAAGGTTCCTCTAAAAGCCGGCACCCATTAACGAAATATACTAACTCGCTGCCATCAGTCAATGCGTTGAGGTGACACCACGGCGGCCTGCTTCTCCACAATACAGTTCACAGTTTTTTCCTTCCATCCATCCATCTTCTCCCGCTTATCTGGAGTCGGGTCGCGGAGGCAGAGCCGTCCAGACTTCCCGATCACCTCCCCCAGCTCTTCCGGGGGGACCCCTAGGCCAGGGGTGTCAAACTCTGGCCCGTGGGCCAAATTTGGCCGGCTTTGTAATTATATTTGGCCCGCGAGACAATACCAAATGACTACTAGAGCTGCCCCCGGTATTATACTGTACAGCGCATTCACCGCTAATACTACAAATCCCATAATGCCCTGTTGTTGTTTTGGCGCGTCAATCAGGACAGGACCCAGAAACTCCCTCTCCTCTGTGACAGTAGGCATAGCGACTTCACACTACAACTGTCACTGTGCCATTGATGTGGTTTTTTATTTATAATTTGATTTTGCATGTCTCCACTATTAAGTTATATATAATGTTTGGTAATAAGCGTTGCTTGTTCATATTCAATGTTAAAGCAAAATTTGTTTCGGTCCATATTAAAAGGTTCATTTGTTCAATGTTGGCCCGCGACTTTGTTCAGGTTTTAAATTTTGGCCCACTGTGCTTTTGAGATTGACACCCCTGCCCTAGGCGTTCCCAGGCCAGCTGGAAGACATAGTACCTCCAGCGTGTCCTGGGTCTTCCCCGAGGTCTCCTCCCGGTGGGAGGCGCCCGGAACACCTCCCCAGGGAGGCGTCCAGGAGGCATCAGAAACAGATGCCCGAGCCACCTCAGCTGGCTCCTTTCGACGTGGAGGAGCAGTGGCTCTACTCCGAGCTCCTCCCGTGTGACCGAGCTCCTCACCCTATCTCTAAGGGAGCGCCCAGCCACCCTGCGGAGGAAACTCATTTTCGGCTGCTTGTATCTCGTTCTTTCGGTCATTACTCAGATCTCATGACCATAGGTGAGGGTTGGGACGTAGATTGACCGATAAAAAGAGAGCTTTGCCTCCTTGCTCAGCTCTCTCTGGTCCGGTACAGCAACCGCAATACTGCAGATGCTGCACCGATCCGTCTGTCAATCTCACGCTCCACCCGCCCCTCACTCGTGACCCCGAGATACTTGAACTCCTCCACTTGAGGCGAGGAGTCTCCACCGACCCGGAGAGGGCAAGCCACCTTTTTCCGGTCGAGAACCTCGGATTTGGAGGTGCTGATCCTCATCCCGCTCGCCCCACACTCAGCTGCAAACCGCCCCAGTGCACGCTGGAGGTCCTGGTTTGATGAAGCCAACAGAACAACATCATCTGCAAACAGCAGAGATGAAGCTCTGTGGTTCCCAAGTTGTGTTTTTTATTTTGCTTTTTCCTTCCTTTGTAAAAGACAGGATTCTTCTTTTAATACGAGTTTATATTAGGAAAATATTCTAATGTGTCAATTACACGTTTTCAGGAACAAAACATCCTGTTCTGTGTTTCAAACCCGGTGCGACCGGATTTTTCTCGGGGTGAAACCGAGGTCTTGTGTAGTGATAAGAGATGGAAGAGTTTTGAAAAGCTGAGTGAGGCATCTCGGGATTCAAAGCAACTTTTTTTTTTGCTTAAGATCCGAACCCTCCCACAGCTGATATTTCCTGCTGTAGAAACCCACACACACACACACACACCGAGAAGTCAAGTGTACACTGCATAGGATGTTTTCTGAGCCCCGGGGGCGGCCGGTATCTATTTATCCGCTCTAATTTCTCACGATCGACTCATACAACGACAGCATGAGATAATGCGCGTTAAGAAAAGCCTGCTTAGCCTTTTTTAAAACCAATTCAGTTAGATATATTTAA